TCAGGTCGAAACGTTGCAATAAATCTGCCAGGAAGCAATCGCAGTGAGTGCCTGAGATTTTCTTAGTCATATATATTTCTTGGGGTTTGCTGACCCACGCTCAGCAGCACCCTGGGTTGAAACATTGTGGCCGTGTGCGACCCTACTCTTTTTTTTTTTCTTTCTATTATATGTTTCAACGTCATCAAGCACTTTATGGACCATCTTCACTTAATTACTTGAATCCATCACAACCACATTGCCCCCTTTATCGGCTGGCTTCACAGTTATACCGTCGTCCTCTTCCAAAGACCTTAATGCCAGTTGTTACCATTTTGGAATGTTGTCATTAGGATTAAATTCCAAAGATTTCATGTCAATCCTATCAATCTCATGGTTTACTGCTTCCAAAAATAGTTTTATGTTTCTGAAGCAGCTGAAACTGGGGGTAAACCTGCTCTTTGTTTGTTTTTGTTTTTTTCATAAATCTTTATTTTTGCAGCGCATGAAACAACAATTATGCCGATGTGGCCAAATAAACGCATACAAATACATTTTTTTCCCCAAAGATAGCTTAAACTTGGCATGCGATGAGATTGCACTTTTTAAAAAAAATTATAAACAAGAAGAACAATAGCATGTCAGTAAGGGAAAACAAATTAATTATACAAACATGTCACTGAACATGAAGTGTGGACTGTAATTCAGAATGGGGAGTGAGGCCTCTAAGGCCTGAGTGTGTCAAGAGCAGGGGAGGGCTGGCAGCCTTAGGCCTGGGGGGCAAAACCAGTCAAGTGGCCCATTGCACCACCAAATCAGTGCAATGGTGCCCACCTTTTCCTGGTTTTATAACGGATATTGATGTTATGCTAATCAGTAGCTCTTTGCCATACCCGCTCCTTCACGGCTCTGACTTTCAATGTTGTCAGAGCGCAAGCTGAGAATCTCTGAGCCTGTGCTCTGACTCACTAACTGAGTGTCGGAACCACAAGGGAGAGGATATAATCTGACTGCACCTACTGCTGGTGCGCACCAGTGGAACACCAGCGAATCGTTTAAATTGAATAGGCTGGTGTCCCCAACTTGTGAGCTGTGTTGGCCGCTGGGCGCCTCTGTTGTGATGGCACCCTGCGTGACCGCACAGCGTGCACACCCCAACGGCTGGCCCTGCTGTCACACACTGGAGTTACTACTTAGACATCCCTCAATATTAATACAGACAGCAGAGTAAACACCAATAAACTGTGCAAACAGAGCTGATCCCACCCAAAGATTTGCTTACTGGATTTGTTGTAAGATTAAATCATGCCTCCTCCTCTCTCTCTCCCATGTGCTGCTCTGTAAACTGGGAGGAAGTGAAGAGTAACCACAATCTCCCAGCACAGCGCCAACGGTGGCTGCATGGGGAACAGCTGTATTTGCCGCCCCCCATGTGACATCACAATGCCCCACCTATATAAGCTGCCATACGAACTAACGCCAGTGCTGCCCACAGTGTGTGTTTACATTAAAAATCCTGCAGGGACCAGCTATAGATACCAGAACCACTTCATTAAGCTGCAGTCGTTCTGGGGACTATACAGGGAGTGCAGAATTATTAGGCAAGTTGTATTTTTGAGGATTAATTTTATTATTGAACAACAACCATGTTCTCAATGAACCCAAAAAACTCATTAATATCAAAGCTGAATATTTTTGGAAGTAGTTTTTAGTTTGTTTTTAGTTTTAGCTATGTTAGGGGGATATCTGTGTGTGCAGGTGACTATTACTGTGCATAATTATTAGGCAACTTAACAAAAAACAAATATATACCCATTTCAATTATTTATTATTACCAGTGAAACCAATATAACATCTCAACATTCACAAATATACATTTCTGACATTCAAAAACAAAACAAATCAGTGACCAATATAGCCACCTTTCTTTGCAAGGACACTCAAAAGCCTGCCATCCATGGATTCTGTCAGTGTTTTGATCTGTTCACCATCAACATTGCGTGCAGCAGCAACCACAGCCTCCCAGACACTGTTCAGAGAGGTGTACTGTTTTCCCTCCTTGTAAATCTCACATTTGATGATGGACCACAGGTTCTCAATGGGGTTCAGATCAGGTGAACAAGGAGGCCATGTCATTAGATTTTCTTCTTTTATACCCTTTCTTGCCAGCCACGCTGTGGAGTACTTGGACGCGTGTGATGGAGCATTGTCCTGCATGAAAATCATGTTTTTCTTGAAGGATGCAGACTTCTTCCTGTACCACTGCTTGAAGAAGGTGTCTTCCAGGAACTGGCAGTAGGACTGGGAGTTGAGCTTGACTCCATCCTCAACCCGAAAAGGCCCCACAAGCTCATCTTTGATGATACCAGCCCAAACCAGTACTCCACCTCCACCTTGCTGGCGTCTGAGTCGGACTGGAGCTCTCTGCCCTTTACCAATCCAGCCACGGGCCCATCCATCTGGCCCATCAAGACTCACTCTCATTTCATCAGTCCATAAAACCTTAGAAAAATCAGTCTTGAGATATTTCTTGGCCCAGTCTTGACGTTTCAGCTTGTGTGTCTTGTTCAGTGGTGGTCGTCTTTCAGCCTTTCTTACCTTGGCCATGTCTCTGAGTATTGCACACCTTGTGCTTTTGGGCACTCCAGTGATGTTGCAGTTTTGAAATATGGCCAAACTGGTGGCAAGTGGCATCATGGCAGCTGCACGCTTGACTTTTCTCAGTTCATGGGCAGTTATTTTGCGCCTTGGTTTTTCCACACGCTTCTTGCGACCCTGTTGACTATTTTGAATGAAACGCTTGATTGTTCGATGATCACGCTTCAGAAGCTTTGCAATTTTAAGAGTGCTGCATCCCTCTGCAAGATATCTCACTATTTTTGACTTTTCTGAGCCTGTCAAGTCCTTCTTTTGACCCATTTTGCCAAAGGAAAGGAAGTTGCCTAATAATTATGCACACCTGATATAGGGTGTTGATGTCATTAGACTACACCCCTTCTCATTACAGAGATGCACATCACCTAATATGCTTAATTGGTAGTAGGCTTTCGAGCCTATACAGCATGGAGTAAGACAACATGCATAAAGAGGATGATGTGGTCAAAATACTAATTTGCCTAATAATTCTGCACTCCCTGTAGTGTCCCTTTAATGTAATGTAAATTATAGAGTAGTGTCACTAATAATATACTAGATTGCCTACTTACAACCAAATGAGGATGATGATGGGCTGCAGTCTGGCTCCACTGGTCTGGTGTAGAACAGGTTCTCTGGAGGCTGTTTGCAACTGTGGTCACAAAATTCAATGTTCTGGGAGAATTGGAAGCA